AATGTAGATATATTGTTATTGCTTATTTTAATTTTGGGATATTTGTATGCTGTTATTATGTTGAGATCAGTGTTGGAATTTTAATTGCAATTGTTTCGAGTCCTGGGGTGGCTAGTGACCAAATATAGTTTATATCATTCCATTGAGTACATTTAGTACTATCCTTACCAAACGTTTTAAGAAAAGGTTTTGAGAAAATCCTAGTTTTGTTAATTTTTAAAATTGCTCATATTGCGCGAAAAGAACTAAAAATTTGAAAAGAAAAAGTACATGTCCTTAATAAAAGAACAAACTAAGAAGAAAAAAATTCATTTGAAGGAAAAAAATCTCTCATCAATTTTGTAGTTGTAGGGAGTCGCCGGAAAAATTGAAGCTTTTAAAATTTTCAGAGTTAACAGTGAAAATCGGCTACCTTTATAAGTGTATTTTACTTAGACATTTTGCCGCAGCATTACATAACTTCCGCTATAATACGAATATTAGTATATACGAATATCTGTATAAACATACCATACGAGAAAGTCAAAATATATAAATTTCCATCCGCACTTGGCACGTTCGGCAATTCTGTTTCACAATACAAACCTATGGAAGAGTCGTTTACATGTAGGGTCGCATTTTAATTACTGGGTCTTGCAGCGACCACTGTTTTGTTCCCGTAAGGTTAACTGTAGGAGGAATACGACACGTAAGGACAACACACAGACATACACACCCATGCCCGAGGCGGCACTCGAACCCACGATCCTTCCGTCCGAGACCACCACTGCATTACTGTTTTAGCGATCTCTGCTATCCGGATCGGCAAAGAGTAGCTTCTCTTTGCATTTTTGAAACAATGCATCTTTTAAGATTTGTTACTAATATTAACTTCTGTGGTCTGGTCTTGATGATAATGTAATTCCATTAAACATTACCCGTCTTATCTTTTTTGCTATTCAAGATTTTAGATAGTCACACTTTCGCAGCTTCTTAACCAAAAGAACAGGGGTCATTGGGAAAATGAAACTTGTTCGAAGATGTGCATGTGAAATCATTTTTATTTTAACATTGAGCGCCAATATTACAAATAAAATCTTCGCAACAATAGAGGTTTTTTTAAAAACTAGATCTCTCACACCATGCAGTCTTCTTTAGTTTCGTATAGGTTCTGAAGTTTGTTTAGCTCTTTAAACAACTATAATAGAACAATATGGTTCGAAAGTAACTCATTTAAAAAATTTGTTTCGTAAATTATACAAAGCCAGAACGACTCAACACTAAAACCACATCTATCAAAACGCCTGGTATGTTTCCGAGGCAAGGCACATGGATTATAAAGAGTAAATAGATAACAAGATCAGTTAACAAGGCTATTTCGGCAGTTCTAGCGCGCAGCTCTTGAGTTTCAAAGTGATGCCGAGGATGAAACTAAATGTTTATTGTAAATGAGCAAAGTTTATTGACGCAATAAGCTTTAGTCACATTTGAAGTAAAAACAAATATAGTGAATAAGTTTAGAAATAAATTCCTATTGGCTATGAACCTCCGAGGAGTTCGATATACCAGTATACAACACATTTGTGAAACTCCTCAGTAGCGGAGGTATGCAAGACTGGCTATCCCTGATGGAAGAATCTGAAACTTGGATCCTTAATTAGAAATGCTAGTGATTTCCTTTTTTTGACATATGGGTAGGAAGAAGTACAGAATTGAAATAAGGCGGGGGGGGGGGCGGCAGCTGGGACAACTTATCCCAGGCTCCACCTTAAAAGGAACCCCATAAACTGTTTTCATTCGCATTACAGCAGAACTTTTTAACCCGTATCAACTGACACCAAGGCCGATCAGAGTTAACAAAAATCCTGGTTATCCACAGAATGAGGGAGAAAAGAAAAAACAAATACCAAACATTTTTAATACTAGAGTTCAAAAAACTTATCGGCGCTTACCAAGAAGCGCATTGTAATATGCATGTACACTGTAAACAATATACATCGGTACAACCTAGTGTGCAGTAAAAAAGGCTGTGATCTTTTGCTGCTTCGGTTATGTATATTTCGTATGAGCTGCACGATCTTGCGTCCGCTTAGGATTAGAAGCTCGTTTGGCGAAGAGTGTGCTTGACTCTCAAATATTTCATGCATAAACCATCATTTTATCTATGATTGCTACTTTTTCTGCAGTATCTTGGGTCATAACAATAAGTGGCACATCAACACTCTCAATCATCTTCATTTTCTGTAACACGCTTGATACAATGTTTCATTCCTCTGTGATATCTTGATAACCTCCGCCATTGTCAATTTGGAACCAAATGCCTCTGCCTTAGTCATCAACATCGGAGCAGCCATAGATATTTTTTAAATGTCTATGGAATCATCTTCCATGTTGGTTTTTATTTCTTCAATATTGTTTCCAGGCAAGTCACACACACTACGACTTTTTCCCATGACTTATGAAAGTTTCTCAATACAACCTGATCTCAAGTTTCCAGAATCAAATAAATAATAGGCTTTGTGTTAAAAGATAAAGACAACCTCACCATCGACTTCCACCAGTCAGGTTAGCATTTGCCTTTTGTACACTTTTTTTCTGGAACTTTAGGTTCATAGGTTTGACGTGAGAAGTTACATTAAGTGGTAAATAAACTTCAATGAAATGTCGTGTTTGACTTGTTCATTGATAGACGGATGCGAAGGCGAATAGTCAATCAGCAAAACCATATTGTGGGAAAGGCTACAATTTATTTTTTTTTACTGTTGGCCCATTTTGTTTGGAAAAATTGTTGTTTAGAAATGTCATTACCCATCCAACAGCTCTAGAGTACTTCCCCAGCGCTGAAGAGCCCGATTCGTTGAGATAAGTTCCGACTAGGAAAGGTACCCGGTACGTAATAATTCATCACGCTTCAAACAACCACCTCGTAACTTGAATAATCTTATTTCTCGTACCACGCTGTGGCGAGATATTTTTATTTCAACATGTGGTACGCCCCCTTCTTCCAGCAGCCTCGCTGTGGAATATTAAAACAACATGCACCTATAGTACCCTATGTAACCTCTTTCATGCATCACAGCCTCCAAAAAAAATTATCTTTAGGATATAGAAGAGATAAAATTCTCTTTTAAGATCCCACGCAGTCTCTTTATCAGTTCACGTGAGGTCGTCAGTTCCAAATTCCGTTACTATTAATTCACTTCAATCATTCTGGAGTAAATTTTACAAATGTTACACAAGTACACCAAGGAAATAACGTTTTAATAAACTTACAAAATAATGAGACAATCGCGTGTTCAGAAAGAGGATTTCAATTACGACCTAACAGTCACGCAAAAATACCCAACAAAACTCTAGAAAATGTTTAATAGATTCGTACAACTACCTTAAGCAACATTAAACAAGTCAAGACATATAATGCTCACGCCCGTTAGCTCATACGTTTCTAGTAGAGCTTCATGGGTTCTCTAACAAAGAAACTACTTCAAAACTTTCAAAACAAAAAAACAAAAACAAATTCAGTCGACTCCGGTTATAGTGAGCTTCTGGGGACTAATATGTTGAGTTCACTAAAGAAGAGGTTCACTATACCCGATAATGTAAAAATTATATGGAATTTCTCCACAATAATTGATTTTATTAATATACAAAACTCATTAACAGCACGGACTGAAAATATAAAAATCTTTATTTTGTACATAAAAAAATCAATTATGTTCAACTGTTTGCTTCGTACTTTTTTCACTAGATCTTTCTCCAGAAGTCATGCTCTCTCCCCGTACTTTATTCTGCATTGTTCTCTCTCGTATCGTTATGCAGTCTCGGCACCTTTCAATGGCCTTTGCACAATTGTAATACCATATCACTCTCCGAAGGTCCTGTCAATCCCCTAAAAATATACGAGATTCAATTAATTTCCAGGTCTTATTTTCTACTTTCACTACAGTCGAGGTTCAGCTTCACTATAACCGAAACTTCTTACGCTCATTTGTAATGCAAGTGAAACGGGACCAGTGACTTAAGTTCACTATATCAGTTCAATATGACCAGAGTCGACTGTACAGTTGAAACACAAATTAGCCAAATTTTGCATTGTATAACTGTTTGAAGTTGTAAAAATATACCATTAAAAACACACAAAAGTGAATTTATATAAACAAAGAGTACTTCTGCACCTTTTTGGCAACATTTTTAAAAAAATTTAATCCGCTCATTCACATAAAATTGATGATTTGGGATTACATTTTATTTGAACTTATCTTTTTTCCCACTGTTCGTTATTAACATTTTGAATATTTTTAAAATTTTAAAATAATTTCGAATTCCAAACTTGAAGTTTTACGGTTTTTTATTCAAAATGTTTATTTGGTCGATCGTAAGTTGGCAGTACCACGGTTCCTTTGGTTCCTTGTAGTAATTTTTTTTTCAATGTTCATTGTTGGTATTTGTTCTGGTATTAATCAATAGGTGAGTGATTTTTTTAAAATTAATAATACCATTGCTTTAAAAGAAATTCTATGAAAGTGAGGGAGCTTTATAAAACTATGAGCGCCGGAGCAACAGCGGAGGCGCGAACTAGATCAAGAGAAGAAGGGCCGGCAGACCCTCGTGAACGTGAACTTTGGATCCTCTGGCAGCGATTCGCGATAACGGGTCTCTGATCACGTGGTGTAAAAAATGCGTTGGTTCTAAAACTGCGTTTGCTATAAAATTAATTTTTAGAATGAATAATACGAACTGAAATGCAGCCCCGATCACAAACTGAACATTGCTGAAAACCGACTCCTTACTGGTGAACGAAATGTTTCGTATCAAAAGAACCGTGCCACCGACAACTTTCGATTTACATTTTTTTTCTTTCTTTCTTTTTATTTATAATTTCTCCATTAGAATTCATATTTTGTTTTAGATTGGGTTTATTATTGTTCGTTCGCCATTACACATGATACCATTACCAGATGGTGAAGCTGCCCCCTGAAGACCTTGAACCACAAGCGTAACTAGCGCGCGCGCTCGCCCACGTAGATGGGGTCACCGACGCGCACGGTGCCCGACTGCCGCAGCCCCATGTAGCAGCCCATGGCGGGCGCCAGCTCGCCCTCCAGCTGCTGCTTCTTCGCGTCCTTCAGCAGGCGGTACCTGCGCACACGCCCGCACCCTTCCACCAACGTCCTCTCCACACTGAGCATTGTGGTTAGTCATTTAGGTCACTAGGCACGTAAGTGTAGTGCATGTTTATCACGTGACTTGGCGGCGATCTTCTGCCTAAATGGCGAGCTCCGCATTCGGCCGACTCGCTTCCACGAACGTCCTAGTCACACTGAGCATTATGGTTAGTGATTCAGGTCATTAGGCATGTAAGTGTAGTGCATGTTTATCACGAGACTTGCCGGCGATCTTCCCCTAAATGACGAGATCCGGCGCAGACATACACGTCGGCTAGCGGGGGTTTTCCCTTACCAGGTATCTCCTACCAGCGGGGTCACCGTCCCACCCGGGCATGCTCTAAGCTCCCGGCATGTGTGGTAAAGTAGGGCGTGTAAGTGTGTGTTTAAGTAAGAAGAGAGAATAGGACAACGAAGGGGAAAGCGCGCGGTTCGCGGCTCATTTGTTATAGTGTGCTGCTCCGACATTCTCCTGATATTGATTGGATAAACCACGGAACACTACCGATCAGGATAGCTGGCTGCTAGATTCTCCTCCCAACAGCGTCTGAATTCAACCTAGCTCTCTAGCTAGTTTTGAAAATCCATCCACCGTCGAGACTCGAATCCTAGGACCTCTCAAGACTCAAATACAGTGTACTGACATCAATTGATGCCCTAAGAAACACACGCCGGTCTGACCATAATAAAATTCCTATGTTTGCTTTTGGGCTGAAAATGTCGTTTCTCTCCTAAATCGTCATGTGCAGTTTAAATTACTTGGCGTGGCCATTTTCTATTTCTATGTTCACCAGTGGTTGATAGTACCGGAAGTTCGCGACGAAGAAGGTTCCGGAAGAAGATATCCTCAATTCATTGCAAAAATAATTATTTAAGCTTATTCAATGTTGTTGAAATAATTAGGTGGATATTAATGGTTTACAAATAATTCATTTTCTAGTTTAAATTTTGTGTTAACAAAGTTTCACAAAGCCATTATAATCAACTACTTCTTCATTTTATGTCCACTACAATTTATTGAAAATATATTTCATTTAACGAGTAGCCGTTTTAAGTTATATATTTTGTCCAGACTACCAATTACTCCGCTGTGGCTACAAAGAAACAAAATGGAATCGCGACTAAAGAGGTTAGGAAAAGTATTACTAACAAAAGGGTACTGCTAAAAGGAAATTGGAATATTTTCATCTCGTATAGAAAATGACTTTTCGTAAAATACGACAAGACTGGCAACAGTACTCACCCTCTTAGAGTCTTCAAAGGCTGCATTTGGGGATCCTTAACAGCTGTTTCCGGGTCCATTGTGGTTACCACACATCTGCAGATGAATGTTGGAGAAAAGTGTGCATTAACATTTAACATGAACAGAAAATTAATCTCACGTCTCCCACCCCTCCCTCCCCCAATATATATATAAACGAAACAGAAATGTACTTCGCGGACCACCTGATACAATGAAAATCAGGAAAGAACTTTGCCCTTATGAGAATGTTCACAAGAAAGTAAAACAATAAGAACGGAAAGTATCGGGAAAAAATTTCCATCGAATGGTAACGATTGTGACACAAAAACCCCCAAGGGTATTAACAATACCTTTACTTGTGTTATTTCAGGTAAGTAAAGTCTCAGCAAATAGCTAGCAAACCCAAAAATTATTTGTAGGCAACGCCGAGGGCGTACTTCATTCACCAGGGCAATGAGTTGCTCCACTTAACTTACTACGATGAGATGATTCTATATTCAGTGATGAAGGACGAAGATGAATATAGTGTACAGTATTTTAAAGAATTAAGTCAAAAATCAATTTTGAATTTTGAAATAATTCTTTTGATCTTTTACGAATTAATGAATAAGCGACTGGGCGATATGTTGCGTAACTGCTTATCTTACTTTACGCGTCCTTGCAACAAGTTCCACGCTTTGATGTCTTACGGGCGAGATTCCAAACATTGACCAATGATTCCACGGCCGTTCACAGACTACTTCACCACCTGGATGACCAAAAAACATTGGCCAGGTCCATTAACTAATGCTACACATGTCATACATATGGTCAATAATACCGAACGTACCTAACATACCTGAAGTCAAATTTTTAGTACAGCTACACATGAGTGATTCCGGTGCATCCAGTACTATGGTAATTAGTGCCGTAAGTGTAGTGCACGTTTTTTTTATTGCCGGAGACGGCTGTGATATTCCTCCGCTGAATGGTGAGATCAGTCGCCGATCTTCCCGTCGGCTTATGGGCTTTTTCCCCAGCTAAGTATCTTCCACCAGAGGAGCTCCACACCAACCGGGACAAGCTCTAAGCTCTCGACTGGTCTCCTGGCATTTGTGAAAGTGTAGTGCATGTAAGTGAAAGTGTGTAGGTGAAGGGTGAGGATAGTACAAGGAAAGGAAGGAAAGATCGCGCGCTGTCGGCGGCTCGTGAGCTCTGGCATTCGTCCGGGGTTTACAGTCAGCTACCCCACTAGTCAACCTACCGTCGGCTAGCGGGGTTTCCGCCAACCAGCTATCTCCCGCCAGCTGGGCACCGCCCCAGCTATGACAATCTCTAAGATCCCGACCGGTCTCCCGACATGTGTGGCAGTGTAGTGCATGTTGGTGTACACGTGTGTAAGTAGGGGTTGAAGATAAGACAAGGAAGAGGAAGAAAAGATCGCGCGCGGCCCGTGGATCGTTTGTTACGGCACTGCTCCGGCATTCGCCAGCAGTTAATCGGAGAAACCACGGGGAACTACCGATCAGAGCAGCCGGCCGCCACAATTATCCTCCAGACAGCGCATGAACTCGACCGTAGCTTTGTAAGTACAGATAGAGCTACGAAAGAAGCCCGATCAAAACGTGGACGGATCGTCAGATATTCATCGGTAAACCGCTTCGGCTGTAAAAGTACAGCGGAGAAGCAACACTAATCTCACCTCAAGCAGGGCTTGAAGTTCTGGAAGACTGCGTTGTCTCCGATCTTGATGTAGTTCCAGTCGTCCTCCGCCAGAGGGCTGGCGCCGCGCACCACAAAGTTGGGTCGGAACCAGCTGGGGGCCACTTGCTTGCCAGACGGGATGCGCGAGTTCAGGTCGCTCACGGAAGCCTCGTTGATGAGCAGGTAAGGGGCCATGTCTGAGAAAGCTCCCTACAACCAACGAGCTAGAATATACTACATAGAGTGGCAGACTCCATGGTTTCAGCGCTCTTAACGGACGCTCGACGAAGTAGGAGCCGCCATGTTTTTGTAGTCAAAACATGAGGTGCCGATGGTGGACTGTAGAACTATTGTACTGTATCGACGTGCATGCTTGTATCATATCTTACTTCTATATTGTTGTCTTTTAGTTTAACTGCATTTAAATTATTTAGTGGTTAATAAAATAATAATATTGAAAATGGCTTCAATATGTTCGGCATATAACTAAAAATAGAAGTCGTCGAACAACAAATATATCATTTTTCAAGTTTGTTGTCTTATCTGTGATCTGTTTGTTTGCTTTTTATTGCAATAACATTCCCTTCCAGGCGTTATGTTAACTACAATAACATTCCAACACCTTCCATTCTTATGACAATAGCCGATGCAGGAAGCAACGTGATTTTAAAATTTCTCAATTTTTACTTCTTATATATTGTGATTTCGTTTTTTTAAATTATTAGTTTTTTAGTCGTAAAACGCAAAGTACGATTATTTATATTACGCGCGGCCCGTGTCCACCGGGCCTTAACCAGCGCCAAACGGAATACTAGAATACTCTTTCTAAAAGGGCGCTGCTTTGATTGCAAAACACATGGCTTCAATTTGCTGGAATGATGGAGGCGCTGCAGCCACTATGTAATGTCACATCATTATGTAGTATCAAAATCAATAATTTCTGCTCGTTGCCTGCATCCAATACACAATGGCTTACAAATATTTTGATTTACTATCAAGGTATTTACGCTTTCGTTTATTAGCGAGGCAAAAGTTTCCCTTTTCTCATAGTATACTGGTTATTTACCTTAGAAAAATTTTACACATTGCTTCTTTGGACTTAAACATTTGCTATTTCGTCACTTACCGTATCATAGCGCATGAGCCGATTGTATTGTTTGCGGAAGAGGGACCAAGGTTTCTTGTCGCAGTCTCGTCGAGGTATAACATCCTCTTGGTGGTATCCGAGACGCACTTTGTCGTCTTCCTTGAGGTTGAGGAACTTGTGCATCCATTCTGCCGCTTCGTCTCCGCAGTCCACAGACTCCGACTTCTCTTCCTTCCACATCCTTTATGAATAAGAATGTATGAGAACATTTGGCATCTTCCGGGGATTGAACACGCTACCACGGCGAAATCCAAAGAAGCATTAAATTAGTGACCCCAGAATCTTAAGAAATCATTAAGAAAGAAAGAGAATTAAAAAAAAAAACTAAAATAATATTAACGTGCTTAATGAATATACATTTTTAGATTATCTCCCGGGTTTGGTAATTGCAACATACTACAACTTCACAATATTGTAAAGTATACCTGGAACTAATGATAATTTTATTATAGATATAAGTGTCATCATTTGATAATACTATCCACATTTGCAGGAGTGATTTTAAGTTTCATAATGGAAGTTGTGATCAGCGTCGGAACTATAGACAATTTTGGGTCCGGTGCAATGCTGGAACGTCCCCCCCCCCCCCGGAAAAATGGGAAACGTGTGGAAATTAACAATGTTGATGTATTTAGTTATCAAATAATACAATTCCCACGGTGATCTTAAAACGATAAAAAATGTGATATGTTTAGCTAGTGTTCAATAAAATTGCTTGTTAAATACATGAAATAATAAATATGAATTTCAGAAGAACCTGTTTTAATGTTAGCGGCATTTGATTCATTTCGAAGTGCTGCCGTAGAAGTAATGGCTATACTCTTACATAAAGTTAACATTTAATTGAAAATTTTATGAAATATCAGGCATCGTACCACGACTTACAAAATTACGATAATGGTTTTCTCTCGAGTTCTAATTTCTTTTTCCTATTTTTTCATAATGTCTCCCCATCAGTCCCATCATCGGGCCCTTTGACTTGCATGCAGCGCCCGGGGCTATCGCCGGGTCTGCCATGTCCAGCGCCCACTGGTAGTCATGATGAGAGGTGTTGGTCTTGGTATCAAACTAAAGACGTTTACCACTTAGTATAGGAATTTATTCCACCTTCCTGCCAGCTTTGAAGCTTTAAGTGCTATACAGTATGAAAGAAAATATTATTGAGTTAAAATGTCACAGGAATTCTGAATCCATCTGATACTGCTTCGCTTCAGCTGATCATACAATTACTTCCGCATATATAATCTCTTACATGCGTAGTTGAATCCATAAATTGAATCCTGAATTCAATTGTAGTTGAATTCAAATTGAAGCTCGATTTACATTAATAAATAATACTATCACATTATTCTGGTGAAAAAAAATCAATAAATGATACTGTACTGTATTTGCCATTGAAATAATATTTATTTAATTCCTTCCTCATCAAATTATCCATGACAATCCTTCCTCATCCAAATTGCATGACGGAAAAATCTCAGGGACCTCGATATTAAGAACTAGACGGGCTAAACAGCACATACTTTCTCGTATTGTTGGAAACGGTTACGAAATACTGAAATATTGCAATTTCTACCATTCTATCAATTCCGCTAAAAGTTCAATTCAAACAATTTAAAGGAAGCGACCGTGGTGCACATCTGCATTTATTTCGATAGTCAGGAATAGTGGTAATTTCTGTCTTTTATAAATGAAACAAACATTAATAATTTGAAGCATATTATAGGGAAATTGGAAAATAATTTCACATAAGCATGCATTGATTACATCGATGTGAGCTTCCAATTTTTGAATACCATACTTGGCCATCAAAACTTCTTAAATTAAGAGAAAAAGTATCTGTTAGGCCTCAGTTGAATCTATTACCATCTTAAATCAATAAAATTTTCCTGTCAATCGAATATTACCCACATCATACGACCATCACCACAACAATGAGAAGAATTTGAAACCGCCATGTTGCCATTTTGCGAATCGACAGCACATCAAACAAAGCGTGGAAGATGCGAATTTACAATTTTTAATTTTTTCGCAATTTTAGAAAATACAAAGAGCACCGAAATGGGACCAGCTCCATTCTTTACTACACAAGTGTAAAAAAATGTATATAAAATATTTACGGAAAATTGAACACTACCTTATTTGAAGATCTGTTTTCGATGAACAGATTTCATTAAGGTAAAAAAATATCTTCGTATATTGTAGATGTGGAAAGACGAAAGAAAAGGAAAAAAAGAAAAAAAAGAAAAATAAAGAAAAACACCGTAATTTTTGCAGTTTTTGAAAATTGCTAAAGTGCAACGAAAAAAGGCATTTACGCCATTTCTATATGCCTTCCATCTTATCCATACAACATTCACAAACACGGATATACTATTATATTATAATGTACTACCCATTTGGGTTGGTTGTCAACTTACTCAAAATAGTTTTTTCTTTCTGGTGTTCCGGAAGGAATACGAACAGTCAAGTCTTTCATGTCTGGAGCTCTGAAAATTACAGTCCCTGCTTCTCCAGAAGCTACTTTAATAAAAAACAACTTCGGATGCTGTCGACAAGTTTTCATGACTCCAGCTTCATTTATTACAATAAAAAACCTGAAACATAACGTAAACTTTTATTAAAATGTTTCAAAACCATTTGTAAATGATAAATAGTATTTACAAATATTTTAAAGGTCACCATATAAATCTTAAAATTCGAACGGAACAGTGGTTCTCAACCCTTTAAATCATTTAGAACCCTTAGCAAAAACCAATTTTGAAATTCTGTTATCAATGATATCAAATCTCTACATATCGTTAAAGAAAGCTGGTTGTTATCTTTATATTTAAAATATTACGGTTTTTTTTGTAATATTTTAGCAAAATTGAGCTGTCTTAAAATCTGCTGTTGAAAGCAATGAGAGCTGTATACTGAACCAAATTTCGTAATTTTTATTTTTAACTTATGTTAGTGATCCCACATATATTATAGCTTGCTATGTTTAGCAGTTGTTAACACTAAATTTTAATAAAATCGTAACTTAACGGAATCACTATTTAATCTGTCATTTGTTGTTTTTTCTGCGAATTGCAATCGAACGTAGTATCGACACATAGCGCAGGCAAGTCTGCGGGTGTGAGGTTATCGTAATGTTTATAAAGGCCACGACTGTGCAAACATGTACATTGCAGCAGAAAATGGTTATCTTAATCACGATAAAATCTCTAATTTTGTAGACAAATCGAGAACTTTTTATAGACAAATCGAGAACTTTTTTATAGACAAATCGAGAACTTTTTTTATAGACAAATCGAGAACTTTTCTTATGAGGTATTCGAGATAATATGAAGCTTTGCTACCCAAACATTACGACTGAATATACCTTCGCCTACAATATTCCTGAACAGCCACGCGGTGTGATCCACTTATCAGTTCCTTCTCCCAAGTGCATTTAACTGAAGAAGCGATGTTTTCAGTTAATCACACTTCAATATATTGAAGACTATGCAGATGCATTGCTTAAATAGCAGTTACAATGCACAGAACTCAATGTTTGTTTCAATTTAAACAAAAATTATAAACCAAAAGTATTTTCATTTATCCTGAAATATCGGTTGATTATTTCATAGACAAAAAGCAAAGAGGAAAAAAAGACAATGGAAATATACAAATTTCTTAGGTTTATAATACTGTCACTTATGTGAATTTCTTGTCATGCAGTTACCGTCAAATTTCGGTGGGTCCCCACTAGTGTACGATTTGTAAGAGAAAATAAACGTAAATGTACTTCTAATTATGCAATTGTCCCGAAATTATACATCAAACTAATTTATGGCGAAAAATTAGAATTCTTAAGATTATGCTATCAAGAAATTAGCAGCCACAAATGCAATTCTCAACACACCATGTTGGAAATCTTGAAAATGGTGCATCATACGTCGTAAAAACCCTGTCTTCGGGCTCCTACCAGTCCCTATAGCTATCCTTTTGAAGCATCGCTTGTGGCGTTTTCGCAATCTCCAAAATACGATTTTTCTAGACCATCAAAGACATTTTTGGACGTTTAGCTCTTCTTGTTATGTCCACATCGTAGTATTGCGTGGGTGGTTAGAAACTTGTGGAATATCGAAGTCAATGTAAAATTGCGTGTAATGACGATTTGATATCCTGTTCACTTTAATCACAAGGCTCTCAGTGTTTCTGTTTGTTAATAAACCGTTAGTAATACGTATTAAAATGTCTGCCCAACAATCTTAGCTTGGCGGTTCGAAGATGGGTTCCAGTATGATGCCATTTTCATTTTAAAACTATCATGTAGAGTACGGTACGTTCACAGTGGTTCAACAATCACGAGAACAACAATTTAGGTTTTGATAATTTATGTTCTAAATTACGCGTATGTTCTGCCATTAGACTTGGTAGATCAGGCGTGTCAAGTTCGAGAGCAACGTAACTATCTTATTAGAATTAGCGGATGGGCCGCGAAATTGAAAAGAATGTGCTGTACAAATTGCTCCAGGAAAGAGATACGATTCTCGATTCCTGACCCATGACAGTTTAGTTCACAGAGACTGCTCCAGCATTAGCTACATCAATTCCCAGTTCTTCTACCAAGCCAAGAAATTATCCAAATACGAGTATATGAAATACTTCACTCATATTTGTACTAGCTATCAATTATGGTTTAAATTAAACCTATTGAAAGGATCTTGATTTTTCTAAAGAAATAATTATTGTAATTGAAAACTGCGTTTAATTAAGGTGCAATAAGAGTTAACTTCTCACGTTCAAATTATGAAAAATGTTTTTCTCTCTTAAAAGAGCGGTCTGTCAGTAGTAGTGATAAAGTATATCTCAAGAGGTGTTACTACAGGAAAGACACCATAAAGACTTGTGACATTAATTTAGTTTTCTTATTCTTGCCGCAATAACTAACAGAATAATATAAATAACAGAACACGAAGCGGTATATTTGTGAAGTATAGGGAAGAAGTATAATCCGCGCACTGGTGGATCCAGGGGGCGTCATGAGAGCCATACACCCCCCCCCCCCCAAAGGCCTAGAGTTTTCGTTTACCTCCCATTATTTGGCAAAATTGATTTAACTATTTATTTATATTCGGATTATTTCATTATTCAATCAATAACATTGTATCATATCTACAGTATATAAATAATATACAATATAATGTTTTCTTGAGATCTCGTTTCGCTAGATGCTGGAGAGTAGGGGGATGGTTGGCTATTTTGATGGGAGAACTATAAAATCAAATGTGTAGCAGGAGTTTCCCCGCTAATAGATTCTGTTACACAGGTTTGAAAATTAATTTCTTGTTATCAACCTTCGATGCTTATTGCAATTTTTATTCATAATTCAACTATTTAGTAAAGGAGGGGAAACAGGTATTGCGGAGTTCAAAAAAACATGCAAGTATATTTCGCGACATGATGCAATAAAACACTTATACTCTCCCATATGCGTACCTATCTCTTAGTTTCACAGCTTCATCGCCAGTAGTGCGAACACCAATATCTGTGCATTCGGCTTCTTTCAATGTCAAAGAAGCTCCCGACTTCAGAGGGTATATTCGTAGTTCCGCCAGTTCTCCCACACGGCGCCACTTGGTGGGCATGCGCCCGCTCTCGCGTCGCCTCCTCTGCCACCACGTGGTTACAACAGCGGCCGCTACGAGAGCTGCTGCTGTCGACACCACGATAGTTGTATTGACACGAGCGTTGTCGCCCAACATCCTCTGTAATATACGATAATAAACAATTCACATATAATTGTAGTACATCATTGGAATAAAACTTGCAGTTCTTTTCCACTGTCGAATGACATCTCAAACAAGAACAATCACAAAACGACGTGGATGAAAACAAACAGTGAAAATTAGAAATTTTGATAGAGAAGTGCTGAATGTGATTAGACAACATGCGTCTTTAATATAGTAGATTTCTCATTCGCTAGGCTTAAAATTTCAATTAGTAGACCTATGAATATGCTTCGTAAGGGACATTATTAACTTATTTTATTTTTTGTTTATTTGTTCTTTTTAGCTTATCTTGCGTGACGTTTTTATGGCACGCTCAACGAAGAGCCTCAAAAAGGCCCTCATCTTCCCATTACGCAGACACGCTAAGGCCACTTTCAATTTGGGTTCAAACGGCTTCGAAATGAACCGCTGACTTTACTTGTAGGGACGTTTCATATCAAATACGTATTCTGAAATAAATGTCTTCCTTCCTGTCTTTCCCACAATTTGCATTCCAATGCGTATGTAATTGTCGTGTAATACAAAAATGTGACTCAACTTTGAAATAATGTGGTTCATCGAGAGAAATCTAGTAACTCAAGTAAGAATCTAACAAGATAATATTATAATTGATGTTTTCAACGCTTTCGCAAATCACCTCTTTGCCGATTTCCCAAAACTCTCCTGCTCAAAAGAAATTTGACCCTAGAAAACTGAGAAAAATCATTAACACATATAATGAACGATTAATATGTAACCAATTGTTGATAAAAATAATTGACAAAACAGTGAAACTTATTACCTGCTGTGTTCATAAACAAATTACAGTAAACCATATTCATAATATTTCAATAACATTTGGAAAAGATGGTTCAGTGGTTTAGCTTTCCTAAATGCAAAATCAAAAAATAAAAATAACTTAAGTCCCATAGTATGTCTTCACATGTGAAAAATACTCTAGTTTTTTATAATTTGGGGCATTATTTTTATTCCTTCTTTCATATAATTATAACGAACAGCAGACCCAAAGTTGCCTTAAAAATTGTTTCGAACACATAGAAATGAGTGAATTGAAATGTCCAAGGGAACAAGTTCAAGGCTTAAATTCGCTGTGCTGTTTCTGTCTTCTACATACGAGTCGAATGAAAGAATCGGTATACACTAGCGGACAAGTTAACATCACAAATACACACTACTCACGTTTCAGTTTTCAACAAACGAGTCAGGTTTCAAAAGCAATGTGCATAATAACATATTAAACACTTGATTTTGCTTCGTAATATTTATTAAAACATCCCTTCATCTGAAAAATGTGAAATCAGTCACTTAGTAACAACACTGAAGGCTTACCTTGCACTGTACGTACTATAACGCAATTTCCAGCCACACGATCTCGCTGCGTGATCTTACGCGAACTGAGCTGACCTCACTGTACGGCAGCGAGACCGACTTCAACTGTCGCGTCGCGTAGTAATTCTTTTCGCTAAGTGGAGTTAAGCGCCTGGGCGCCTCTCCCGCTACACGACTATTGAAACAATTCGACTTTGACCTTCCGATAGCTGACACCGGTCGGGCAACTTTCCAGCATTGTTTACTCAGCGTTCGACTCTCGCAGTACCAGCTGATTCTTTATTATAAAAAATGGTAATTATTTTATTGCGTTTTTTATGACGTGCGTGTTTTAATGATTACAGCATTCAACAGAATATCACGTTTCAATCTTTGTTTGGAAATAAACCAAACAAAATTATGAAAAGCATTTAAAAAAATCAAAATCCACAAGCAAAGAAAGCTAAATATTAATCAAAAAGTTTTTTGTGTGATTTCGTTTGTTTAATGTTCGAAAGTATTGCAGAACATAGTTATTTAATGGATAATATCTCAGAAAAGATTTGTCTCTTCTCCGTTATTGTAACGAACATCAAGGAATCGATTCACGAGATTGTGGCGAACGATATTACGAACCCGCGAGCAGGATGGCATCTTATTTAAACCCTCTAAGTGCCTCGATCACGGTGTGCCTCTTACACTGTTGTCTCCTGGAAATACCTCTTACACCTTAAACTACAATGCGCGATGTAAGATATATTTCTGACGCCGTGCCACAATGTAATGAATGACACCTAGTCTTATCCTTTATCGTACGTCGTCGACTTCGCGAGATCGGTGAATGAAAACAGAACGAGTGCTGGGAAGGAGTGCATTTTGTTTACGTAGTGCGAATGTCTATTAGAATTAGAAATAATGAGATACACAGGCTCAGATATGTTTTATATTAATCACGTAGGCATTTATTATACTTAAAAAAGGCTGGTAAAGGCATTTACGTTTTACCCAAACTTAATTAAATAAGTCACAAAATTGTAAACTGTGTATAATTGCAGTACAAATAACTTAAAGCATTAATATAAACGAATATATTATAATATCGCCAAAGTTTTGCCCCCCCTTACCACTATAAAAGTTCCCAAATCCCGCCTCTTTGAGCCAGAACGTTCTCTAGTATTCTTGTGATGGCGGTTCTCCTATCATGTGTGCGAGCATTTCCAATATCACTTTACTGTTCAGGTGAAACGCATTTAGCTCCCGATTGGATGAAACCGCAACAGCTGATCCAAGCCAAGTGCACTACTAAATAAAACGTACTATATTATACTTATATCGCGAATATCTTATATAGAGAATTATCTGAAAAGCGAGCCGTTCCCGCCACTCGTTCTTCACTTTCGTTCACAGCTCTGATGATGTCAAAGTCAATTCGTTACGTTAAGGGATAAGACCCGAAATGCTTTTTCTTTGCCGTTAAAATTCACTGAACTGTTCGTAATGATCTGGAGATGATTCTGAATGTGATAATCAGGTGATGGTTCTAATTATCAATTCTGAACGATAAAGTTTTGTTGTTTACACTGTCTTCTGTGATCTGTGTCACGTTGCACCGTGCCTGTTGGTGCTTGTGTCCACCGTCACTCCGTTTGCTGCCGCGAGTAATCAATATTTTGTGTAACCACGTGTAGGCAGTTAACCATCAGTCAGTGTAGACCGAGAATTTCCAGCAATTATTGGAATACAGTAGTTATTATATTCCTCCGTGTCGCAGGCGTGAAAACCTGGTGAGACCTGAAATGACAATTTGTCTTCATTGTCAGATCATTATCAGTCATTGTCAGGTTATGATTGCCAGGCAAGTAAATATTTTAATCTATCGCCGTTTTAAAAGTACGAAGAGTGAAACTCGTTTATCACGCTAATAATCTGCGAAGTGCAGAATATACGGTGCTTCCAAGTGCGTTTGGGTTGATGACTATGCAATCCGAGTCACTAAAACGTACTACTAATTAATTATTTACAGTGGCCCACTTTGGTATTCGACCGATCCTCTTGTGTGCAGACTGCGTGATAAAAATGTATAAAAATCGTTGAAAAAAAGAAAATCTCTGCATTTTATTACACAATCATGGTCGTAAAAATAAAATATATCAATGCCATTGGTATATTACGGATTTGGCAATGGACTCTTGACTTTTTGACTTTCTGAATAATGACACTCACCATTGGAATGATACTCTAGTATTAGTTATCTCATGTCTTCTGACACTACACTATTACAACCCATAGTGCTTGAGGTGTTAGTTAAAGCTTGGAGCACGTCAGACTGCACCTTAGGAGAAAATTGTGCAGTATTGGTTTAGAAATGGCGTGAATCAAATATTTTCATTGGTTGTTGGTTGACTCGTCAAATACTTCTGCAAGAGCAGATATTTTGCACTTATGTCAAGTTAATTGTGCTAAATGGTGAAAGATAGTTGTTTTATAATATTGTATTCTACAGACACGCAACACAAAGTATTAGTGTTCTGTTATAATTGTGTGAATGCACTTCTCTGCATACAAGGTGACTGGTCAAATACATTTGCAATACATTGTATATATTTAGTTTAGTAGTGTAATGTAAAGTAATGTATTTACTGTATTCTAACATTTGTTCCCCTTTTCAAATTGGAATATTTAGACCCTATTTCCACTTGGGAATGAATAGGTTTATTTATAAATATCAAAATTGTGAATAAGGTTTATGAAGTTCTTACTTGCTTTCCAGTTCATTGATGAATTATTCATTCCAATATGAATTTGCCTATGGCTATCCCACATTGGACACACCGGTTCCCGTCAGATCACCACCGTTCCAAACTGTGGGTCCTGGTTAGCTCTAAGATGAATGTCTTAGATCTGCCAGGGTGCCTTTGGCACATCAAAAGTTGGGGTAAGGTAATGAAGAGAAATCAGTTGTGAAGGGAGAAGTTGTACGTTTTTAATTTCTTTAGTGGTTGAATAATAATTGTAGATTTTTTCCAGATTGGAAACTTTTCTTCTCTGGGAAACATTTAAAATCTAACATTCCCTAATCATTTCTGCAAATGGAAAGTGCACAGTATAGTAGAGAGTCTGGAAGCAAAATAAACACTACTCATAGTTCAACTACTATTTGCAATGAATCCATTCGGAATGAGATATTATCAGTCAGGAGTGAATCTCCTGATAGTCAGAAAATGTACAAATGTAGCATATGTGAATCTACGTTCTTTAGACGTTCTCATCTTCGGGATCACTTGAATCATCACACCAAAGATGTAAGTTGCTTCATTTATAATTAAGTAGTTTCAGACAAGAACATTTTGTGACTTAGTAATTTAGAGAGTATTAAAGGTAGAACAGAATGTTTTACATTTTATTTTTGTTTCCAGCGTCAATATCAATGCAAGGAAATAAATTGTTGTAAAGCATACTTTTCGTGGAAACATTTGCGAAGACATTTAATTTCTCAACACAAATTAATTAATGTAAAGAAATCATTGTATATGTGAGTGAAACAGACTTTTTTAGTTTGGAAATTTATTTTTAATCTACAAATCCTTATTAATATGATATAAATTATGTGTAAACATGAATCCCTCATTGACCAAAATAATCAATATTCATATTACAAGATTATGTTGTATATCTGTGTTACTATATATTTTTCTGGGATACAACTTTCATTTGGTTTCAGCAAAATTATTGTTAAGTGAGTATATACTTTCAAGGGTTTACTGTAATAATTTCAAGTCGTAAATTAGTATTTTTGTGTGCAATAGGAAAACCGAATCAAAGAAACACAAGTGCTTACATGAAGGTTGTAATGCAACATTTGACCGTCACTGGAAACTAACATCACATATGTGGAAACATACTGGTGAGGTATGTTACTTTCAGGTGACTTTTTCAGATAGAATTTCTTGCTTCAGTTGATTTACTGAACTAGGAATTTAATTTTTAGAAACATCATTCTTGCACCGAAAATGGTTGCAGTAAAGTATACACCTCTGTTGGACGTCTGAGGCGACACATTGCCATATCCCACAAACCCAGCAGCGGAACAGTAATGTATTTGGAGTGAGTATTTTTTTAATTTTTTACTACAAGGCTGACTCTTTAGCATACTACCACATGAAAATGTAAGGCATGTTCTCAAGTGCATTGGCACTGCGAGGTGGAAAAGTTTCAAATGCCGTTTAGCATGGGGAAGTTGCAAAAATGTGCAGCAATTGCGGAACAATTTCTTGCTTTCAATGCTTTGCTGTCAATGTATTCACCCTTAATGATCTCAGCCCGTCTCTAATCTAAGATACCACATTGTGCTCAGTCTATCTCAAATCTGTAAGGTTCTATTTTTTACAATGAAATACAATATTAGAGCAAAACATTTAATGTTTCAAAGAAAGGAGAGAATTAGTGAATAGTGAGATTTACTCTGAAATAAGCTTTGCTCCTTGTCACGCTCTTTATTATGGGTTAAAAGAAATCTAATGGGTTTCATTTAAAAAATCAAAGGTGTGTTGATATCTTTTCGATAAATGCCACATCATAACATACATAATCTTAAATGTCCTATGCATATGTTTGTTTTACTGAAAAGCACAACTCAATATCTGCAATTGGCAGGAGATACTTGAACAGAACATGTGTGTAATTCTGTATTCTTCTATTACTTTTATTAATGTTTTCTATTTGCAAAAATATATTTATTTATTTTACAAAATTAAACCTTTTTTATTTTTCTTGTTTAAGAGTGAATATCAACTCTTTTTCTGTGAAAATGCAGATAGCAGATATTGTTTCTTAATAGTTGGTATAGTAAAAATGAAGAGAGAGTAATATTCCACTCAATCTTTCTAGTTGCTGTTATGTGAAGACTAGTTACATTCCTCTGTGCTAGTAGGTGTACAATTACATGTCAGTCTGATGAAGTTGGATAAAGGCTGTAACTGAATAATAATGACCCCATACATTTTGGACCATTTAATTGTGGTGTTTGGTAACGAAAAAAACTAAGATTTACTAATTTTTTGAGTCCCACAACCCTCTCCTCCCTATCCCCATTTTATAAAAAATTAATTTTTCACTTTTTTCCTCTGTCTTACTTTTCTGTTCTGGAAGTTTTTTACTTTCTTTCTTTCCTGTTAACTTTTTAACACCTGGAGTGCACCACAAGACAATTGCTTTACTAACACTTAGTAATAAAAGTAATTTTTGGGGGGTTGAAAAATTTAATTTTTTAAGTCCCTTAAAGACATTAATTAAATAAAAATAAATTTATTATTAATTAAATTTTTCCCCAGATACCGTTTTTTAAAAATGTGTATTTTGTATGTTCAGAATGAAAATGCTTATAATATGTAATGCTGTATGTTTATAAAGGCGTTTATTCTGCTATTACTTTTGAAGGGCTAATTTGCTGTGCTTTGCTAATATTTTTGGTTTGTGCTTTTGTGAGCAACATAGAGTATTGTAGAAGCAAAGCAAACCTACCTGATTTTGGAGGTTAAAGCTCCAATATATACTTCAATAACAAATATCTTAATCTTCCAAACAAATATCTTAATCTTTGACTCACATTAAAAATACAAAACTTGAGCAAGTTTCTTCTGTGAATGAAGAATATTACAGAGGTGTCTGCAATTCTTCCCTTATTGAACGATTGTGCAAAAGTAAACAAATTTACATTTACCATTAAATTACAAAAATCTTGTAATTCTTGTCTGTGTTTTATTTCATCAGCTTGTAATACCATTGTATATTCATAGTCGCAAAGCATTACCTCGTAATATATTCCCTAATAAATTAATTTGATGGCTCTCCCGTTTAATTTCGTGCTCCAACCTTTGACATACACTGATAATATCAATAATGCAATTGTTAGCTTTAGAAACTGGTTAGATTGAAATACTTTTCTTATAGAGTAAATTTTAAACCCAGCATGCCTGAATTGTGTGTTTGTACTTTGTAGATGTTCTGAAGATCGATGTAAAAAAATTTATAAGACTATTCAATGTTTGAGAAGACATTACATAAAAGATCATGAAAAAGATGAATCACAAAATCCTCCATTACATTGTTCATCTTGTGATAGAAGTTTTAACTCCTTGACGCTTATGAAACATCACAGATGTGCATCATGCAAGTAAGTAATCAGAAATGTGTCTATCTTTAAAATTCCTTTATTCTTCCCCATATATGTAGTTCAGAGAAAGCATTGTGATGCTGCAAAAAATGGATGACCGGATTTTGATGGAGCTACAAGGTTGGGGATTCCTGATATCGAAAAATGGATTTTTCAAAAATTTGTTCATTCTTTGGCAATACTATTGCCTGAATAATTCACAGGATTTTCTCCAAATTGGTTATTCCCTTCGAACTCCCTGCAAACTAGAGAAACATTAGTTATTTCTTTCTTGTATATGTAGTAAAAAGCATGATCCTGGTGAATAAGCTGATAAGTCGATTATTTTGCAGAACAACAAAATACATCTTTAAACTAATGCTATAAATTGGGGATTAATGATATTGAAACAAAACCTACCCCGCAAATAGTTTTGGGTGAATATCACCTTTGTTTGATTATCATAAATCCTTGATTTGCATAAGTTGAAAGTTGTTTTTTGCTCTCCTGTAAAATTAATTATGAGAATTAAACATTAAAATAAATGTTTATGACTTACCAGCTTATTCACTGGGATCAAAGAGGGATAATAAAAACTGCAGTTAAAAGTGCGAGTTTTTCAACAGAAAACTCATTTAGTGGGTAAAAGAAAGTGTTTGCACCTTTGTATAGTCATTTTTTTTCTCCAATATACAGGGTATCTGGGGAGGAAACATTGAAACTTGGAAAACAAAATCATAAGACAATTTTAAGCATAGCTTGTCTTATAAACTAATTGGATATTCGGAGTGGCTAAGCTGCTATATGCACTCAAAAGTTGGTTTGAAAAATGTTTTCTAGACAAAAATTTGGATTGCAGCAGCATTGAAATGCTCCAAAAACATGTAAATTGTATATTATTTACAAAAGAAATGGATATATTTGTTTAGAAAGAAATACTAACCTAGAAATGAAAAAGGAGTTGAATTGTGTAAATGGGTGCCATTTTATTTCTGTGTTAATTTGAACAAATAAATTAATTTCTTTTGTAAATATTAAACAATTAACACATTTCTGTGTTTCTGCAATGCAAGTTTTCGCCTAGAAAGCATTTTTTCAAACCAACTTTTGAGTGCTTATTGCAGCTGAACCATTTGGAATATCCCAGTAGTTTACTGCACAAAATGTGCTTAAAATTGTCTTAAGAGCTTCTTTGTAAAGTTTACATGTATCCTTCCTGGACACCCTGAATGGTGGTGTCAAAACCCTCTTTTTGTGGTTCCTTATTACTCAAAAAGGTTTTTCTCAAAAAACCTGTCTATACTTTTGTTTTGGAGAAGAGTTCATTACCAATTGAAAGCTCTTTCTCTCAAAAAAGTAATATATGGGTTATATAGAAAATACATTTCCTCCTCTTTTTACTTTCTTACATTAACTTCCTAAGAAGAGAAACTATAGTAATCATATGCTGGAAAAGAGGGACTTTTTGACAGAAAAAACTCTTATTCTGAGGTCTTGGTAGAGATAAAGTGGATAAATCTTGTTCCTAAAAATAGTGAAGTACTCTTCCTCTAATACGTATTGTCAGAATACACGTTTGGTCCTTGATACCGAAAAATCGATTGTTGAAAAAATGTCTGTCTTTCTGTCCAGTCAATGCTAGCACCAAAACTGTTCAGCCGATTTTCTCCTAAGTCAAATATCAACATTCCCCTATCAATTTAATGTAATTGGAGCCCCCCCCCCTATGTTTGAAATGGATATTTTGATTTTGGGGGATACTTTACATGAAACCTCAACATTTTCAAAAATGGCTCCAAATTTTTCTAATGAACTTTCACGTCGTTGGAAACATTTGTCCTTGTAGAGTGTAAAATACACTTAAAAGAATGGCATAGATCTCATTTTCATTGAAATTACTATTGTTTTTGAAAATTACAATAGTTAAAAAATGTTTCATGGACTTCTTACAGCAAGATTGAAGATAGATGTATTTTCCCTTTAATTGTCTGATCTTTAAAGACTGATTTTGAAGTAATCGAGTACAATTTTTCAAAAATGAAGTATTTTTCATGATAGTCTATGTGAAATATAGTTAACTTTTATACATTTTTTCTTCAAATATTTTCCACAGGGAGAATGGGGCAGTTCTAATTTTTTCATTGAACTTTTTGAAAATTGCTAATTTAGAAAAATATAGAGAGAAATTTCAAAAGGAATTTTCCTGCTCTTGTCTATATTGTCATGTAATAACCGTCTCATGAAATTTATCAATTCTGTATGAATCTGTATTATTTGGAGATGTAGAAAACTTCATAACATGATGTGCTTTTGCAGATGTGAAGAATGCAATTCCAAATTCATAAGTGTTATTGCATTGAAGAACCACATGAAGAAGACACATTCTTTCCAAATGTGTTCAGAACCAGACTGTCGTAAAGTTTTCTCAAATTTTTCTCTACTGAAAGAGCATAAAAAAGCAGATCATTCAAAAGGTAAGGATAATGTTGATTTTTTTATCTTTTACTTGTGGGTTAGTTCAGTCAACATTTTACGAGTGAAACATCTTAAATCCTGTTTCTTTCATACTATGCACCAAGCACAAGTAGAGAAATAATACATTTTGTGAGTGAAAGTATTGTTGTAGAATCTCCTTGCAGAATCTCAATAGATTTATGTCTTGACTTAATGGTTTTGCCAAAAACCCCCTAGATCGTAATTAAGTGTAAAAAAAAAATCTTTGCATGCGCTGATCTCCTGGGATGGACACAAAAATCAATTGATAGTTTAGTGTGTGCTTTTCTATGAAAGTAAGTTGTTTTCATCCTTGAAGAAAGGGAGTAGCATGCTAATTTGGTAAAACTTTATGGAAAAAAGATGAAAGGAGAAATTTTCTTACAATGTCGTGAAAAATTTGGTTAAATTTCATCGACGTTTTTTTATGAAAATATGGAAAATTAAATTTTTTATTTATAGTTTTCGCATGTCCAACCTGCAATAAAAAATTGAGATCTGAAACCCTTTTGAAGAAGCATCAGCAAACGCATGTTTTGCCTGAAGAGCGAAAGTTGTTTACATGTCCATACAAAGAATGTGGAAGGTAAGGATGCTTAGTAATTATTTTCAAGTATTGTTACAATTACTTCAGAACGTTGCAAGAGTTGTATGTAAAATAGCTATAAATTACTGAAGTAAAAATTCCATTTCAACAGGTTCTACACAAGGAGATTTAATCTTGATCAACATATCAGGAGCTCGCATGAAGGTATAAAATTTCACTGTGCTGTTCCGGGATGTGAGAAGAGTCTAGTTACTAAGGTACAATTATTGTTTAAAAAGTCATGTTGTTTTCGTTGGTCTGATAATTTCCTTCTTGCTAAAAGAAATCCACTTTTAATTTGATTCTAGCAAAAATTACAAGAACATATGAAATTACATGATCCTCTTAGAGAACCTCAGCAAAGGAAGCAAATGGCCAGAAGACAGCGCAAAGATGCTGGAAAACCAAAGCGTTCTATGGCAGCAAAATTATCAGGGATTCAACTTTCCTTTCGAGAAGAACAAAATGTTCTTCATTCTTCAAATAATTTGTCAGTTACTGGGCAATGCACCTCAAAATCCAATGATTCATCCAAATCCAGCGATGCGGAAAGTGAAATGTCAGTTTTAAGTGACGAACACAGAGAAGAATCAGATGAATGTGAGGAATCATGTGTAATGATTGCCAATGAGCCAGATATATCTGTGATATTACAGTGGGTGGCTGGAAGTTTTCAACTACATAAACCTGAAGTGGGTAGTAATAATTCAGACCTGGAAGAAGATTGTCATGAAATTGAGAATGAAGAGTTGAACTCTTAGTCATTTTTACTCGAAGTAAATGTGTACTTCTATTCAAATATCTGTAGTGATAATTACTGTACCATGATTAATGGTACTAGCTATTATAAATGAAATTGCATTTGCATAGCTTTAATAAAAAAATATATATACTGTTATTTTTGTATATTGTAAATTGTTTGGTTCTTTCATAAATTATTATAATCGAACAGCATTTTCATTTCATTGGACCAGGATATATGGCTCAGGGCACCAACTGATGTCTCTGCAGTCCATCTGACCAGGAGGTCCAGGGATGAGAGTCCCGATGGTGGCAGGATTTTCGACACTAGTTTGTGAGCTATGTCGAATTTATTCGCTGTCTGAGGAGAAATCTGCGTCTGGCTGCTCTGATTGGCAGTTTTCCATGGTTTCTCCAATCAAAACCACGCAAATGCCGGAGCAGTACACTAACAAACGAGCTACTCACTGCACACAATCTTTCCTACCTCCTCCTTCTCCTATCCTCACCCCTTTACACACACCTACACTACCACACGTGCTGGGAGCTTAGAGCTTGTCCTGGCTGGGGGACACCTGCGTCTGGTTGAGGTAAACCGCACTAGTAGGCAGTAGGTCGGCACCAGATCTTGCCATACGGGAGGGGGGGGGGACGCAAGACCACTATCACCTGAGCAAAATGTGCACTACACTTAAGGGACTAATGCCCATAGTAGTTGTCGTTCCTGGAATCACTTACAATCAATCATTTCATTTGTTTGGAACAGATCTTGCAACAAGGAATATGATACATCATTTAGAGTAACTAAATAGAATCCATTAAAGCAATAATCTTTCAAATGGTTTCGTATCTGAAGTTTAGAACAAAAACATGAAAATCTGGCATTCCAAATGTTAAATAGGCTCATAAAAAATTATCAGGTTTTAAATAGATAAACCAAAAGGTCAAACTAAAACGTTGACCATCCCAAATTATTTTTGATGTATAGATTTACCTCTACCAAAATACAAATATGTTTGCAGAAAACATATTTTAAAAAATTGTGATTCCGTTCATGAAATAAATGAATTATTCCTGCACTTTTGAACTAATAAAGGTGAATGATACTTTATTCACCACACAGTATCCCCAAATGGACTTTCTTTTCATTACCTTTTTTTGGTGAAAGTCCTTAAAACTAAAATTTTTAGCATTTATAAATTTGATCTTATTGATAAAAGCATAAAATTTATTTCAAAGAAAATTTGTTTTATAAGCATAAAGCTGTGTAATAAAGAGTTTTGAAAAAATTAACAAACTTTGAGATATTTGTTCTCAATATGAAACGAGATCTATTGAAGTATTCTTGGTGCATAGAAAAGTTCTTAGAATGAAAAGTCATTTATCAAGTCAAGTAGAGTGGGAAGTATTGCAGTTGGTTTTTTTTTTGTTGCTACATTTACAGTACAAGTGTTTTGTGGATAGATTATCCCTATTGATGTTAAAATTATATTTCAACCATGCACGTAGGACCATATTGACCCTTTGATTTTAATACCCCCACCCCACCCTGAAAGTTTTGCGCATTAAAGCTCACTTGTGGCCTGTGATTCTTTAACGATCATTCACCGGCTTAGGTAGCTCAGAGCATTAAATGATGTCACTCCAGTGCCCGAGTCTGGGAGTCCTGACAGTGGCGAGATTCTGAACACTGGCTACATAGCCAGGGCAAATTTAGCCGTTGTCTGAAGGAGAATTGTAGCGTCCAGCTGCTCTTATAGGTTGTTTTCAATCCCTTTTTTTTAATTCTCCTATCAACACCAGGTGAATGCCAGAGCAGTACGGACTGCATGTAATCTTTCCTTTTGTCCTATTAACACCCTTACCTACTCACTCACACACATACATGCACAACACTACCACACTTGTCTGGAGACCCAGAGTGGGAGATAACATTACCAAGGTATTCCTTGCAAATATGCCCAGAAGTGGTGGGGGCATGTTCTTCTGTAGGGCATGGAACTGGCAGATCGTCCCCATAAGGTAATGACCAAACGGCTGTGGCTAATGGGCTGGTGGGAAATTCCATTCTCTTGAGTTGCCATGCAGGAAGGGAGAACCAGCAATTTTGCACATTATTTGAAGGATCTTACCAAATTATTGGAATGGCAAAAAACACTTCTTTTTTTCACACTAAAAAAAAGAAAAGCCATCAATATGCAGAGCAATGACTTGTAATCACTGGAGTACCCTAACGGTAGTCTTCTAAGTCATGTAATTGGATAACAAACATTATTGGAACTGTTTGATTAATGTACGTATTTATTTTATCTATCTAATCATCACATGAGATATGGGACAAGGATTTTAATAGTGTGCAGCATTGTGTATGAAAATTGTTCTGCACCAAAAAACTGATTATTATTTTTTTTAAATCTCAGTTGAATACCAACTTAAAACCAGCAACTGAAGGCATCAGCACAATAGTAGACACTCTGAATTGTGTGTTGAGTGAAAATGGCTGGTATGTACATTTTCATTTCCGAATATACATTGAGTGTTTTTATACATATAGGATTTCTTTTACAACACCTTTCACTTTTCAGTTGCTCTTTTCCCCACTGGAGAAAATGGCAGATGTAAATCCTGGGCTTTTATCGACAAATTTATTAAGACAAAATTTCTTCAGACACTTTTACAAACGAAAAAAATGTACTAGTAAAAAAAGTGTAGGCCCTTCCTGAGCCTACAAATAGATTTCATTTCACTGGTAACACTAACATTCATTTGTTGGTTGAAATAAATAAATTAAAGTTTTAATACTTAAAAAATGTATTATTCAGTGTTGTGATGAGAAGGAAGAACTTAGAATCTCCAAAAGATGGCATAAATATGTTACAGGGGTAATCCTGCTTAGCCCTGAGTTACTTTATAGAACAGGCCATTATTACACAAACTAAAACAGAAAAATGCTGGGTGCTAAATTTTTCTTTTGAAATTACACACTAATTTTCGACACTGAAATATTAACCAAAACCATTACAAATAAATACTTTTGCAGCATTTGTTTGAAAGAAAAAATCAGATTCCAAAAAAAAAAAAAGTGATAGCCCACTTTTGGACTGATATTAGGCCTCGATTGTTCACCAGTATTTTCAAGAAAACCTAAAGATTTACAAATCATTTTCAACTGTCACGTTTCAATTTTAGATGTGTTTACACTGAATTCCATATTTCCATAGTAGATGCTTGAAAATTACTTATTACTAGACCAAATTATATGCTAAGTAGTATATATATAGCAAAATACATGCATATTTTTAACAATCTTGCATATATCAGAACAAAACTACCATTTAGAGATATCCAACTCACAAATATCAGGGGTTTTTGTCGAAGTAAATTGGTTTAGTTTGTTTCTGTCTTGGGACATCAATTATGCCTTGACAATGACAAGACAAATTAATCTTGTACCAGAAACAATCAGTATCCCCTGATGAACAAATTTATTTCTTCTGTAAAAAGAATATTTTAAACAATTTTCAGATTAAATTATACAAAAAAACTACTCAATTTACCATTACCATTACAGCCGGTTCTGACAAGGTTGAAACATTATATCAGCATCTGGTCTAAAATACAAAATGCAAAGTTTTCAACTTCTTATTCCTCACTCTCTGGCTTTTTGGAATTGAGCCCATTGTCACTTTTACAAGAAAGTAGCAAATTTAATGATGTGAAGAATGTATCACATGAAGACACTATGTCCTCTACTTGGGGTACTGCGAAACACACACATTCATGAGTTACTTTGACCACTGCTTGTTGAAGCAAGATAAAGCTGGTCAATGTATGAATGTGTTTTCAAAAAAAAAAGAGCTTTACTGTTATATCGTTAACCTTTTATATTTGTAACAATTATAAAACTTGTAGGAAAATATGGCTGATATACATTTCTTAAACAGTGTTAAAAATACTCACTTGCCAATCAGGCCTTAGAAAACAAAATCATTATTTGTTTTTAGGCCCAAACAGTAAAGATACCACACATTTTAAATTCATCTTTGTCCTTTTTTTCTCTATGACATACAAGCATAAATTTTCATGAACATTCAACAATTACATGCAATTAAAAGATATAATAAACAAATTCCTTTCAAGAATACATTTTATTCACTCTCTACTACATTAACTTATTTAATTTCCAATTCAAAAACTATTGTGACAACCACCTTATTTTGGAAGGTTTTTTTAAAAACTAATAATTTACAAAAATTTTCTTAAGTGCACTTGAAAAATAAATAAATAAAAGAACAAAAAAAATTTAAAATGGAATAAAACTTTACACATGCTCCTTCCCTAATCTTGCCTACAATTATTCATCATCCCACAAATTGTTGCCTTGCGAGGTGTAGACAGTGTTAAAACTAGAGTCCAACCATGCATTCACTTTCTGTTCACCCGAAATGCTACTTTTCCCACCCACTTTATCAATCTCCCAGGCCTCTAAAAGGATAGGCGCAAGAGCGTCTTTATACTCCAGTAATTCTCTTTTAGATAACTGCCAAGGTTGTTTAGCAGTGCTCTTTTCCATTGGAGGTTTTGGTTGAACTTCACACTTTGTTAATTTATTGTACAGCTTTTTAAAATTCCATCTGCCAGTTGCTTGTAGAGTCTCCTTGGTAGAAACAAGACCTTTCAGATTAACTGAATTCATTTCAGTGTTCTGGTCAAAAAGCGACTGGGAAAAAATATCTGATGCAGCTGTGTGAGTAAGCAATTCTACATCTGAAGACTTACATTTTAGGTAGGTCATACCAGTGAGTCCTAATGCCATTCTGGGAATCACTGAAGGGTCTAAACACAAGCCAGATGCCTGAAGAGAGTATAGTGAATCTAATCGTGATGGAATTTTTACAGGAGGCCAGGTCTCTGATTTACTACTAAATCCTAAAACTACATTTCCAGGATTCTGATTAGCAATGCAAACTATTTCATTGTCTTTATCATAAGGAATAACACAACTGTAAAGAGGAGGAGAAGTCAAATAATGAGTCCAGCATTCAATTACTGATGAAAGCGAGCGTATATCCAATAAAAACAGATTTAAATCAGAACCAACATATACTAAGCAAGGGTTACGCTTACTTGCACAATACATAGATATTTCTTCATCTCTCTGAGATCCTTTGAGACTAGAAAGTTGCACAGAATTCATAACATTACTACTTCTCCTTTCCATCCACTTTAATGACTTGCGTCCTGCTATTGACACAACTGAAGGATCTGCACTATACAACAAGTAATGCCAATTGTCACATCGTGGATTATCACTAGGAAAGTACGTAGCCATGGGGATTTCTTTTCTGTTCATATCCCAGAAGGTCATTCTATGATTCATACCCATCACGCAAAGTTCATCATGCACTGAGGAAATATCAAAACTTGAAAGAGGAGTTTCTTGTAAGTCAAAAAATTCACTGACTTTTATACTTTCACTAACATTGTAAATCACACAAGAATCTTTTTGACGTACCCCTATAATATTATTACCATTTTTTTCCACAGATAGAATTTCAAATATTCCCTTTCCTACACTAGGTGTAACTTTCTGGATGTTAGACTTATCAATACACCATAACTGATCATCATATTTTAAAGATGCTACATGTAAGCAATTTCTGCTCTTTCCTGCAACATAGGCAAGATAGTAATTGCCATTGAAATCAAAATGCTGAATGCAACCTCCTGTATAAAGCCAATTATAATTTCCAAAGAAATTAGCATCAGGATCTTCATCGACAAATTCCATAAACTTGGGAATATATTCTGGTACTTTAACACACACGGCATTACGAGTCTCCAAAATTTGCTTTTCAAAATTTTTTAAATCACTAGCATAAGAGCCATTATTAAGGGCTTTACATTTTGATTTCCAATGACGATGAAAACTCCTCTTTCTAAATACTAAATTATTAACAATGTCACTGCCGTGTTTTGATTCGTCGTCTACAGCACTGGAAGACTTGAGTAGTCTGTGTTGGAAACTTCCTAATGATCCATACTTCGGAATATCTACAGTTTTGTTATTATGTGCTTCAAAAACGTTCTCAAATGTATTATCTTCAAATTCTTCGGGCTTATTCGCACTCATTTTCAATAACAATCTACAGCACACTGTTCTGTCAGTTCACATGAAAACACTACAATATAGTTGTAATTATAGTTATATTTGTTACATATAGTTATAATTGTGTTGATCTCTGCGACGTGCCCAACGAGCTTGAATGACATTAGATTTCTATATTCTTGTTAGTTCCTTATAATCCTCATAATGTAATAACATACATTTAACATCTGCTGAGCACGTGTGCTCTCACCACCACTTGTGGTCCACCAGCTCCATCTCACACACTCGCCGCCACAGATGTTTTGCCTATTCTTGGATTTTTATTTCTTGGCACGTGAGGGCCTTACTTAACGATGTTATATCACAGATATCTCAGTGTTCCGCTTCATTCTCGATCGTGCCGCTAGATGTCGCATGATCGCCAGCACTGCTCGATACGGTCGCGATTATGCGACATTAGCAACCGCCTGACAAAGACGCGAAATGCCATATATTCCATTCGTGATGTCAGGTCCTTAGGCGCCAAGAAATAAAAACCCAAGTATAAACTTCTTTTTCATATATATTGTAAAGCAAAAGAATAATACATGAAGGTAGAGGTAGATTCCAAGAAATTTCTCACTTTCAATCTTTGCTTTAATGTCGAACCATTAACAATCTTAGAACAGTGTGCCATGCCATTTTATTTATTTAATTGTTCATGTATAACACCATTTTTTACTTTATCAAAATAAAACAATATCTTTAATTTTCAATAAGGTATTGTCCATATGCACGTTTAATGATGAAAAATTCTTATTGATCTCTATCACTATTGACCTATTAAGGATATAGGTGCTAAATGTAGGTCTAAAGGCTAAGGCTAAATGTAGCGACACTAGTTCAATTTGTCGCCACCATGTAGCAACACCATAAGAAGCCAAAATTACTTTAGTATTATGTCTGAACTAGTTGTCCGATTTTCAATCTGTAAACGACGTTTGATTTGTATTTGATATAGAATTTACGCTACGAAGCATCTTTTAAAAAAAAAAATTGAAAAATGAGTTTTGGATTAATAGTTCTGGGAAGACATTTTAAAAGGTTGGCTTAAAGCGTGGTGGCGAAGTGTTTTCTGAATCCAACGCCGTATCAATCGTCCAAATCGGCTGAATAGGCGCATAAATTGAAATTTGTTAAAATACAATGCCCCGTCCCCATGCCACGTCGCCGCCACCACCACCGCCGCTGGGCATGGGGGCGCCGTGCCGCGCGTGGGCGCGCCGGCTTCTAGGGGCACGGAAGCATTCCATAAGAGGTAAGAGGAGCAGGCTGGGAGCGAGGCAGGCAAGCAGGCGGTTCTCTTGTGGCCCAACTGCGCATTACGCCTTGAGGAAGGTCGCAGAATGACGACCGAAACGTCGGCACTTTTGCCATGTCACCCGGACAGCCAATTAAATATGATGTCTCATGAAGTTCCTCGAAAACTCGAAAGTATTCTGAGAAATTGAGCTCGCACTTTTGCATTTTCAGAAACATTTAAACGTTAATTTCTTACAATTTTTCAAACAAAGTGTCTATTCATGACGAGGTCAATTCCCGATCATATTCACACCCTACTACAACGCTATTTAAATCATCGCTCCTTCCACATTCGACACCTATCAAAAACCTCTCCCAATTATCCAATCCAAGCCGGCGTCCCACAGGGCGCTGTGCTATCTCCAATCCTTTTTTCCATTTATATAAATGACGTACCACCAACACCAGAAGTACAAACTTTCCTTTTCGCCGATGTCCTTCCCTTCCTAGCTTCCTTCCACTCCCTAAACAGATCCTTATCCTACCTTCACGAATCCCTATACAACTTCTACCTCTGGGCTTTCCCAAACTCCATTATCACACGCCCATCCAAATTCCAAGCAATCCTATTCTCCTATAAAACATATTCATCCCATAACCATTGGAAATGAACCAATTCCCTGGACACCAAAAATATCCTACCTTGGCATAACCTTCTCCCGCAGACTCTATTGGTCCCATCACATTCACAAAATTACTGTCAAAAAAACTGGATCACCAATACCTTATATCCCATCCTCACTAATCCTCATATACCCACCAAGAGAAAAATCCAAACTTACAACTCCTATATCCGCCCCATCCTAACATATGCCCATCCCACTTGGTTCGCTACATCCCTTACCAATCGCACCAAATTAACCCGCGTGGAAAACCACAACATCAGCCTCATCTTCTGCCCACCCATGTACACCATTTACATCTCTATACCACATCAAAACAAAATACCCCACATCCTCACACACCTTTACAACTCCGCAATAGCCTAAATCAAAAAAATACATCAACAATCCTCTATTCCGAAACCTAATCCTTCCTCACTACCACATCCTCATCATTTGGCTGTACAAATCGTATTCGCCCGGACCCCCTTGACGGTCTCTTTCGAAACAGTTGGCTCTGCCAGTGTGTTGTGTTTAGGTTTTTTTGCACTCCCTCTCCCCCGTACGAGACGTGCGTTCCGGTCGGTTTAGTTTGTCGTTTGCTTTTCGCCATGCTGCTTACGCTGCATAGGAGCTGGGAATTGAGGATGTCCTAAGCAAGCTGCCTTTTTCCGAGCTGCTGTATCCAGGGTTCTGAGGACTGTGGTAGTGAGAAGGATTAGGTTTCGGAATAGCAGGATTGTTGATGTATATTTTTGCATTTAGGCTTATTCGGAGGTTAAAGGGGCTGTGAGGATGTGGTATTGTTTTGCATCTGTATAGAATGGTAAATGCGTGTACCCATGGGTGGCAGAAGATGAGGCTGATGTTTGGTTTTCACGCTTAAATTGTTTCGATTGGACAAGCCTGGGAAATTTACCCTGTGCAACCAAGGATGGGCATATGTTAGGATTGGCGCGGCATATAAGTAGTTGTCAAAAGCTTGGATTTTTCTCTTGGTGGGTCTATTATGAGATTACCGTGAAGGCATGAATAATACGCTTATTTGGGTTGACTCCCAAGTTTTTTTGGAAGTAAATTTTGCCACTTAAAATGATGATGGGACAATAAGTCTGCCGGATAAAGGTTTTTAATACCCCCCCCCACCCAGGTTAGATATTTTTGGTGATCCAAGGGAATTGGTTCATTTCCCTGCGTATAAATCGGACCAAAACAAAACCATGCAACACAAATATGTTTATAAGGGAAACTTAAGGCAATTGGCTGTGTGTGCACATGACCGATGCAATTAAGTAGCAAGGGCACACTCCAGCGCTGTCGTATAATGGAGTTTTGGTGGGCAAAAAAAGCTCAATCGTAAGGTAGAAATTACTATTTTTTTAAATGGAAATCAAGTTAAGAAACGAGATAAGCAAATAAGAACCATTCTGTTTGGATGGTAAAGCAACGCTAGGATAATATGGACAAGGACCTATTCGCGCGAAACAAAAACGCGAAAAAGTTTTCTTGATCACTCCGTTTGTTGCGGGGGTAACTAACGTCCATTGATATAAATGGAAAAAAAAGGATTGGAGCATAGCAACAGCGCCCCTTGGACCCCCGCTTGATTGATAATTGGGAGAGGGTTTTCCATAGGGTGCTCGAATGTGAAAGGGAGCCATGCATTTTAAAAATAGCCGTTGTGTAGGCCACCCATTACCCCAGCTCGGACCGCCCCACATCACTATCCAGCTGCAAATAAAAAAGATCGGGGACATTACCCTCGTCCCATCCGGATATAGACCACCTTGCGGTTTAAAAAAGCTATACACAAAAATAACGTTATAAACACCGGGCGTCTCTATCGTACAGCTCTCATGCGCAAAAAGGCGAGCTCCCAATTTTCTCCCCAGACATACCTAACATCTCCGATCGCGCGTCCGCAGCGCATCATCGCGAGTAACTCACACCCACTAGCAACTAACCATGTACAACTCTCCTCATCAGAACACAGTCTTCCATATAAATTGCTGTCCCGGCGCTACATTCGCCAAAAGGCGACCGTCTTTCCCGGTTCGTCCATCTGCGTCCTTCTCCAAGGCCGTAAACTGCGGAGTTTGCTATGACAGCCACCAAAACCAACAGAAAAAACGCCCTGCTTAAGCCTGCCCTCCCGCTCCGCCAGCCATCTTCCTCTTACCTCTTAACGCAAGCGTTCCGTGCCCCTAGAAGCCCCGGCGCGCCCACGCGCCGGCACCCGCGCCCCCATGCAGACGCCGGTGCTTTAGCGCCCGAACGAACGTGCATGGGGACGCGGCCATTCTATTTTAAACAAATTCACTTTATCGCCCCTATTCAGCCGATTTTGGACACATTGATACCGGCGTGGGGAATTCCCAGAAAAACACCTTGTTCCGCCCACCCCCACGCTTATAAGCCAACCCCTTTTTTAAAATGCTTCCTTCCCAGAACTATTAACCAAAACTCATTTTTTCAATTCATTTTTTCCTCTCTGTCTTTAAAAAGATGCCTATCGTAGCGCCACCGATAAACATTCCTATATTCAACAATACCAAACTCACACGTACACGCTTTTACCCAGATTAGAAAATCGGCAAACAACTAACGTTCCAAGCACATAATAACCTAAAAAAAGTAAAATTTTCAGGCTTCTTATGGTGTGCTACATGTTGGCGCACAAATTAGAAACTAGGGTTCGCTTACCAATTTAGCCCCCCTTAGCCCCTTTTTCCAAGCCACCCTTACATTTAGCCAACCTTTAACTACTCCCCCTTAATAGCAGTCCACATAGTATAGCGCAGAATCAAATATATCCCATAGACAACAATTTTCACGTCAAAATGAAAACTGCAATTACTTGGCAATCAATACCCTTAAATGTCAAATTACATATTGTCTTTTATTTGATAAAAGTAAAATAATCGGCGCTGTTATACAATCGAACCCAATTCTAAATAAAAATGAAAATGCGATAGCACACTGTTATTCTAAGATTGTTATGCGTTCGAACAAATTAAAGCCAAACAAGAATAACCTATATAATATAAGAAATTCCTTTGCGCACATCTTAAACCTCTACCTCATAAAACCCGCACACCACAACACATCACAAAGCCAACCACCACAAACACACCAACCCCCATGCTCCCAGCACCCCCCACCCAAACACCCTCTTCACTCAACCAGCACCCACCCAATACTCCCTCCACTGCTAACTTATATCAACACCCATTCCTCAAGCACCACACCACCCACCTCTCCACACTAGACACATAATGCCCCAGCCCAACTACCCATACAAATATATTAAATCGAAAAAGACAGTTTATACTTGGTTTTATTTCTTTGGCGCCTAAGGAACCCCTGACATCACGAATGGAAATATATTGTCATATCGCTGTCTTTGTCAGCGCGTTCTAGATGTCGCCATAATCGGCGACCTATCAGCAGTGCTGGCGGATCCAGCGACATACAGCGGCACCGATCCGAGAATGAAGCGGAACACTCGAAAGTATCTGTGAATATAACATCCCGTTAAGTAAGGCCTCACGTGCCAAGAAATAAAATCCGAAGAATAGCCAAAAACAATCTGTGGCCGGCGAGACCTGTGTGAATGCAGCTGGTTGGACCACAAGTGTGGTGACGAGCGCACACGTGCTCAACAAGATGTTCAAAGTGCTCATGCTTATACATTATGAGGACTATAAGGAAGCTCAACACAGAAATATTAGAATCTACATGTCATTCAAGCTCGTTGGGGGCTCGTCGCAGACGATCAACCACCAATATATAACGTATATGCTAACAACATAAAACTATATCTAATTACCAAACCTATATTGTACAGTGATTACATTGCTGAACCTGACAGAACCCAGTGTGCTGTTAGATTGTTATTTGAAAATGAGTGCAGAAAACATAAGCCCGAAAGACAACTTTGAAAGGATAGATACATTTGCAGCAACGAGTTTTGACATTCTGGATGAGCACAGTAATAACAAACTCTACATATTCCGATATGGATCATTAGAAAGTTTCCAACACAGACCCTACCCTCCCGCAAAGCTCATCCCCAGTGCTGTAGGACGACGCAATCTCAAACAAAACACCGGACCCAGTGGACAACTTGTTACATCAATCTTTGAGTATTTCAGAAAAGGACGTCTTTCATTCTTCCTCCTTCTCATGTGTCGTGGTGTGGTTTGTGCCGGT